GGGGGGTTCGACGCCGCAAGTGACGGGCGTGGACGGCCATAGTAACAGCCGGTCCGGAACGGCATTTTAACACCGTCGTTTCGCCAATCGTACAAACCGTCCGGCTGCTGGGTCGACGGATTGGAAAGTTGGAAGAGACAGAACTTCTCTACTCATGATAATCAAACGTCTTGAAGGCAAAAAAGCATTCTTTCCATCCCGTTTCAGGGATGGTGAGTTTGTGGAGAGGTTATGTTTAATACAAAAAAACTGTTTGCTCTTTACTTAACTTAACCATGATCTCAGCAAGCAAACAAAATTTCGAAAAAAATAGTCTCTGCAGACTTCTGTGGCTTGTCAGACTACTGTATCTTGCAATATGGCACGGTTGTTGCAACTTGTAGTGGAAGACCGAATGCAAACTGGTGGGTCATGGTACAAAAATGCGGACAAGGTTGAAAGTAGGTTGTGGTTTTTTTATTGCGCCATGTAGAGCAAAATAGGTCAATGGATTTATCTAAAATGAATGTCAGACAAATTCCTTTTGGCTTCAAAGTTCAAATCTGACACGCAAAACTCCAGTATGGAGGAAGGGAGATATTTACAAAACAAGTTGTACTGGGTGGTTTTTTGGATCACCCTACATATCGCTGGTGGAGTGATGAAACCTCGTATCCCTCAATTTTTTCGAAATTCGTTGTGGTTTTTTTGGCTTAATGTTTTCTCCCAGTCCTTCTTCACAATGTGTCAAAAGCACTAGGTCATATTAGTAAGAGAAAGTAATATAAATACTTAATAAGAAAACCTCGTATGTTTGCCCCCATGATATCCTGGCGTGATGAAACCTCGCAACCCTCACCTGGTGCGCTGATCTGCTTTTGCGTGGTTTCATCACTCCCGGTTTGAGAGAGCGGCGTGCTTATACGAGGTTCTGGACAAGCCTTCTATATGGACCGGCTTAATTGAAGCGCTCATAACTGACATTGTCTGGTGCATTTAATGTATCTGACTGAATTAAGAAATATTTCATTCCTTCATTCATCCATACATTCATTCATTCTTTTATTCATTCACTTTATTTCAGTCAGTTCAGAAGTTCAAATATGGTCATAAGTGAAGTACTTACATTGTGAAAATCTATTAAAAATCTATTCATAAGGATGACCAACTTGCTGATAATCAAGATGTTCTCATCGAGCACAAACGTAATTAACATTTAAGTTAAGGCAACAGTCACACCTTGAAATGACAGGTGACGGTAGTCCTTACTTAGACTAGGTGACAGATCTGTG